CTCATCTCCATACTCCCACTGGACGGCGGTTTCCAGAAGTTCAATATGATTCCAGAGTTACTCACAGTCATCATTTATAAATTGAGACTATCGAATATTACGGAAAAATATAGTTGTCCCATAATTAGTGAATCACTTTGGGTATTTTTGAATTCAAATTTTTTTCTTTTTTATGTGAAGTCTTGCTCATCCAAACATACACCTCTGTCATCTACAATGTATTGCCTATTCATGGGAATTTAGTCGCTGTCTTTCCTCTGAATTGCGGGAGTCTTGAACGAAGAAGGACTGGAAGTCGGGTTTGAGGTCATATCACTTAGCGTAAAATTTCTTCTTGAAGAAGAGTGCTAGAGCTCAGACAAGGTTGTCCTTAGCTGGTACGAGGATAGTGCTACACAAGAAGCTGAAAGAACTGTTAGCCTGAGAGTCTCCAATTTTTATGAATATTCTACCAAGGTGGGTCGAACGACCTCAGAAAAAAAGCAGACTTTGTCTTGCTTTGCTTTCAAATTGAACACGTTGCCATGTGCTGTCCACGTTTGCCTTCTTCACTGACCCTAGTATTACTGGGCGGCGGTTCCCAGCGCAAGGTTCCTTTCGTGTTTCACCAACATTTCAGAAGTGTCGAACTAGAGGAAGTTGGGCTTTTGCTGTCAGAACTCCCGAATCGCTTGAGCTAGGCTACTGTTCCTTGTGGATTTGTTGGCATGGTGATTCGAGCACAGAGCATGTGAGATACAAACTTCCATATTTTAAAATCTTTACGACTCTACGGAAATGCCTACATTCCATCATCTCAACGACTCCATACACTCTGACAAATAGCAAGTACTTTGTCCAGATCTAGTCTCACAAGGGAGGTCTTTCAGGGCAAGGTGCGCTTTTTGGAAACGGTTTAGTACATGTTGTAGGGACGCATGTATGGACCACAAAACCATGTTTCGTTTTCGCTGAACGGTTTTAGTAGTACCAAAAAAGTGGTGAATAATACTCTTGATGGTTCAATCCCCGCGGCGACTAAATTTTGCAATCAAGGTTGGCGGCCACTTGTTGGCTTCAAAATGGTCCTGACGATGAATTTGACATCTGATTTTGATATTTAGCGCGATTTGGCACCAAACCGTAGGCGCCAACCCAAATGCAAAATTTAGTCGCCACGGGGGATCGAACCCTTAACAGTACCTTATGCTTCTTTTTTGGTACTGCTATAACCGTTCAGCGAAAATGAAACATGGTTTTGCGTTCCCTACATGCGTCCCTACAATATGCACAAAACCGTTTTGAAAAAGCGCACCTTGCCCTGAAAGACCTCCCTTGTCAGTGGCGCTGGGTAGAGCAGCAAGATTACCAGTAGAGGGATATTTGAAGTGTGGGTCATCCTCAAATCATAAAAGCAAAATCCGGAGCAAAGTGAACAGCGGAGAAGGAGTGTGTCCTCTCCTATCTGCTGGTTGATCCACTGTGTTGTTTGGCGTTTGAAAGATCCTAATTAGAAGTGATGAAGAAGCAAGCTCAAAATAGGTCTCTAGAAAAATTGATATGATAACCATAGGATAAGGCAGCGTGTAAATGGGCTGACTAAATGCTCAGGTCGGGATAATGTGGGTACTACTTCACAAAACATGTCCTTTTACCATAATTGTTAATTTTTATAGGCAATATGTAATGTGATTCAATATTATGGGACAAAACCTAGAATATAAGCTGTCCTTGAAAAAAGCCAAACATAGAATCTTATGTGCAGAACTGACTGACATTCGCAATGTCACTGTAAAGTGGTGATCTTGTAATTCAAATGCTGGTACAACTGAATGGGAAGTAGAAGTTATGTGGAAAAAGTGGGCCACGACGAACGCTTCACTCCTTTCAACATCTATAAACACAACAGTTTTTCCGAGTCCTCATCAGTATACGGTATTATCGAGCATCTGCACTTTTATGAAGACAGCGGACCCTGCGACTGAGCGGGAATAGCTCGAAAGAGAAGTAGAAGAGAAAGAGCATTTCACATGAAAAGAGGAGTTCACAATAAGCAGCAACCATTGGAGATCTCGGTAGAGATGTCAGTATGTGCAATGATGATGCTGATAGAAAAAAAGCACATGTGAAAATGGCCAGAATCAGAGATGGACTCGTTCGATAGGTCATGATTTTACACGGACCCACTCTCACCGGCACTGTCTGCTTCAACGCAACGCTTTTTCTTGCTAAAAGGATGGAGAACGCGGCGAGTGGTTGGCCAGTCGGTGGGCGTACCGCAGCTCTAGCGGCGCGGGGACGGCCATGCCTGACCGCCGAGGGCATACCCTTAGCTGTGAATTGCGTGTCAGTCCGCACCCTTGGAGGGAGTGGCGAGGGGAGGGGGGAGTCCGCCTGTCTTTCACCAGGTAAGTTTTCCCTTCTTCGATCTTCGAACTTACGGGCAATTCTCCTCTAGGTTTGTTACAAACCAAAAAAAAGACTTAAACTGCGCTGTTTCCGCTCTAAATTGCATAATATGTAAAAAGCATTCCTAGAAGGATTCTTTTGTTTTATTTAGATATTTGACCAATTCGTAACAGAATTCCACTTTAGCCCAGGACGCAGAAAACCAACCGGGATGGAATTGCACACGGCCCTTGGTAATTTTGCTTCTCTCATCAATTCCACAGACTACAGATAAATAAACTAGGGATGGCGGTTCCCTCTTGAAGGAAATTTTCAACGGAAACTTGTAGATTCGTTTAAACTAATCAACTGACATTCAGACCTTCATTGTCATGCAATATTGAGATTAAATACAGGGTACTATACATACAAAAAAAAACAACCGTATCACATAGTGAAGCTAGTTTAACGACCGTATGTAGAGCATTCTACCTTTACTACAATTACTTGGTAAACAAAACAAATAAACACGATATGGGAGCTTCTTCTCAAGCCAGATGGGGATAAAATTCACATGATCTATCTATCTACAGTTCAAAAAAAAGAAACAGGAACTCTATCATTGTGCTAGTACCACACAGATTTTACTAATATGCTGAAGAAAAAAAAACTTATAATCCTAGGCATGCAGCATTAGCTCAAAAGTGAAACTCTACTAACCTGATAGGTCATGGTTACATGAGAGTAAAGTCAGAGCACGCTTCGCCTTTGATGCATTTTGTAGCTGCGCGATACACGACTGCTTAGCAGCCGAATATCTCTCAGCATTGCGATGCCGCCACGCGTATTGGAAAGCAATCAATACGCACCTTAACGTTGATCACAATGGTCACATCATCTGAAGGCTTGGAAAAAATGTTCAGATTAGCATGTAGACCACTTAAAATTAATTTCCGAGAAGGATTCAATTTTGAGCGAGTGTGAAAAGGCATGAGTATTGTAGGGAAAAGCTAATGCATATACAGATAAGGGAGTTTGCTTACAAGAATTTTTAGCATGTCATGGATAGAAAATGGAGCACAACAAAAAACAGAAAGGAGCCGGTGTGTATGTAAAGCCACAACTCAATTGAAGGCGTTTCAAAACACGTTTCAAAGACCCTAGGTGGCAAGTGGCTCGTTGTTTAGGTTTTCACAGCGGTCGAAGATGGAGTCACTTGGTGCTTTGGCAGTACGCCACGTTCCACAAAATTCTCCCTAGATCGAAGATTCTCTCGTAGTCGACTTAGGCGATCAATCACTTCTTGTTGTTTTTCCGTGACCTTCTTTGCGTTGAACGAACGATAACTCGGATTCTGAAGAGGTTTTCGATAGAACTTGAAAAAAATTGAGATTGACAAGATAAATTATTTGAATCAGATGAATTAAAGCATATTAAAAAAGGGAAGTTTGTAAAAGAAGAATAAAAAAAGATTAGTAAGTAAACTATAAAAAGTAAGCTGATATAGCGAACGAACCAGGCTTTTGAATCGATTGATGTTTGGTGAATCTTCGGCGAGATTGGCAACGGAGCCACGCCATCCGGCAAGATTTCCCATAGAACCGCGCAACGACTGCACCGATGGAGTGCGACTTAGGTTCGCCTCGGCCTTACGGCGGACATCTGGCGACAGAATATCCTGAAGAAAATCACGAGTTGATTCAATTTGAAACAAGCTAGTGCAAATGCGGCACTTATGATCAATTTGGTGCTTTAAAAAATGTGAACAATTCATGAAAAAACTACTTCAGCTTGAAAAAACAACAGAGATTTGATCCTTAGAATGTCCAATAAATGAATAGGTGATGTGAATCATCGAAAAGATGACTCAATCGGAGAAATTAAACATTCGAAAGAAAAGTAGGCTATCATTCCCTCTGCGACTGCTAAAAGAGCTCGATTGCGTGCACCAGAACCAGCATGCCTCATGCTCCGTTTCCGTCACCTATGATACCCAAAAGAAAAATTTTGCAGCAAGCCAGAGAGCCTATCGGAAGTGGGAGGAGGTGCCAAGAAAAACAGCGCGTGCATAAATATAACATAGATATACAAGATAACTTCTGACAACTACACACCTCTCCATGTTTATTGCATCCCTTTTCCACCAATCTCTTCACATAGGTTGAGCCTCGAGGGGTTTGATTGAGGTAGGCGGCCGGAGAGCTCAAGGCGCTCCGAATCTGAAAAGCGTAGCAGTTTAAAAATGTCGACATGAAATCTCATGATATAAATCACAATCGAGTGCCATCACTGACAGCCGGACATCCTCGACACACCAATTCATTAGAGTGTTGCGCTTTTCAATAGAATGGAAGGACAAAAGATAAAATAGTTGATATTGAATCAATACTCCTTGAGAGCACAGGCATTCAAACTCTTTCCTTGTTAATTCCATATTGATGCTTATCTACTCGAAAGGACTCGAGCATTCAGCTAACATCATCAGCCAACACATTATCCGATTTCGAATGAATGAAGACTGGAAGGTTAGCGCTTCAAAATAGCTGCACGCTTTAGGAAGAAGTTCAAAACCGGCATGGCACAGCGGGATCCCAAAAATTCTAACCAAAGTAAAGCCAACTGTTGGGGAAAAAAACCCCCCACCATTTTACCCGTAATCTTCCTCACAACTATTTCAATTGTACTCACTCTTTTAACGCTTATACAAGAAATTTGGTCCACATGTAGCTGAAGAAGCCTTGTGAACTCTCGATCGTAAATAGAATACATTGTGAATTCCCGCTTACACACCGCAAAACATTCACTCCGGATGACTGGCACCGCTGCAGACTTCTGGGAAGAAAAACTGAGATCGTCTAAGAAAAGGCTTCAGAGAGGTTCAAGCTTTCTCTACTACTTGCTAGGGCAGATTCTTCATATCTTTCGCACCAAGAATGGGCACCAACAAGGGAAGCTACTTTCGAAAAAGTGCAAACCATCACTAAACACTAATGGGAGCGTGCCTCGGGATAAAATATGTGTAGGAGCGTTCAGTAATGAAGCTGGGGGTGGGAAGTGGTCTGGAAAAGAAAAAGAAAGCAAAACAAATCACCGATTATGTCCCGAATGGAAGCGTCCCTCTTTCAGCAGTATTCTACCTTGAGATGAAGCACGGAATACGTTAGGACGGTCAAGGAATTTCTGGATTCAATTGCTTCAGCGCAAGTGGCATTGAGCCGCAATGCCAACGCTGCCCCAACTGCGGCCGCGCTTTTTCCCAGCGTCACGTGGCAGCCGACAGCGGAAGGCGGGGCTTGCGGACGAAGGTGTGGATTGCGGGTCGGACGAGCTCTTGCGCCTTTGTCGCGCACTTTCAAGCCGCAAAAGGGGCGCGACATCAACATTTGTCCGCCTGTCTACTACAATCGAGGATGGAACAGGTGAGCGTGCCTAATAGCGAAGGGTGCCTTTATTTCTCATTTTGCAACAACTTATGTGGAAGAAGTGCTGAATGCTGACCATCTCCGTATGTTAGGACTGCACATGAATATTGAAGAAAACAATTCGCAAATTCACTGAAAAACGCAGTCATACCTTTAGCTCGTTATTGTTAGATGTAAGAATAGATCTTGTTGCGCCACATGCGTCATGTCCAATGGTGATCGCCGGAACTGGAGACTGTCTAAACACATAAAAATAAACACTGAATAGTAGAAAGATATAAGATGAAGCTAATGTACCCAGCTGTAGCATATTAATCATCAAAAATTACTCTGTCATTCCCACTAAGAAAAACTACTGAGAAAATAGCAACGATGAAAAGAAAAGACACTTTTTCGTATTGAAGGCTGAACCCAACTTTCAACGCTTGAACATTTAAGGAAGTTTTACAACAGTAGAAAGCAACGACTAGAACTCACGATGCTGCCTGTGGACTGGAACTTCCAGAGCTTGTATTTCCTTCATGATTCTCTTCAGTTGATCCACCACTGCTTCCTGCAGAATCCACATTTACGGGTGAATCCGTCAGACCACGCATTCTGTAAGCACGACGGTGTCGAGTGGCAACCGGTGAAAACAGCGGGTTCTGAAAAGCAGAACTAAAAGCTCAGCATAGAAAAACCGCTGAAATCTTCCGAATTAAAAGAAACGGCCGGCACCGTACACAGCAAGAACATGAATTGTGACGAATTCTATGAATGGTAAGACGTTTGTCGCGAGCTGAGAATTAAAAAGGCAATCGCTGTGTCGTCACGTGAATGCTGACGCTTTTATCCCGGCTGATTTCATAGCAGCTGCTTATTCATACCGCTTCTCAGAAAAGCTACTGAGTGGGGCGCATACAAGCAAGCAATTAGCCCGTTCAGCGACTTCCAGAGTTCACTCGAGATCGAACCAGTCACCATCGGCATTCCCTCACAAATGTATGTCAGCAATCGACCGAAACTGAAGGATTAGAAGGCTCCTTGGCCCAAACAAAACACAATTCACGATCACAACAACACCCCTGCGCCAGGTCTTCCCACCCCCGGCAGAAACAATCGCCACCTTTACAAGAATCAAAATGCATGTTTTTCGTAAGCAAGGACTGAGCTCCACGTGCTGCCCGACGGAGAAGCTAGGAAACTGCACTATCTCGCAAGGAAAGGTCCAGAAGAACAACAGTGTCAACACAGATCGATCTGCCACATTAAAGCATTTCTAACTATTAATATAAAAGTTTGAGCTAGTCAGCCAACGGGAAAACAGCTTTGACAAAGACTACCAAACGACACTACCTATAGACACAAAAGTTCGCCTCAAGACATCTCCAGGGAGACCGCAAGGTAACCAAAGGCCTGCATAACCACACTCTTTTTCAACGGTTTTTCAAAAAAGTGCACTGACCCAAAGGCAATCAGAGCAACCTCAGGACAGCTTAAACAATTTTACAGTTACTTGTTACGTAGTCAGACAAATACTCCACATTATTGGCGCAAATGAAGACTGCAGAGAAGATTGCTATCTACGAGAAAAGAACCCCTACAACATCGTCCTGGTAACGAAAATTAAAAGCAGACTAGCCATTGAGACAAGCACGCTCGGGAAGAGTAAGAAAGCTTCCTACAGAGAGCAAAATCACAATGGACTTATCATATCCAAGTACCGTTAACTATTGACAGCTGCTCAACTTGGAGCTGTTCGGAACAGCATCGCTGTTCCAAATAACACATAGAAAAGGCAAGCGAAAAGGGTTAGATTAGTAGAGCGCTAGGTGTCCTAGCGCTTCGCGCACAATAAATGCAGCAGTTTACAGATCTGTGAAATGTCCCCTTTTTGGCAGATTCAGCTTTGAAAGGTTTCTTAACAACGAAAAATGAAAGACCAACAATTTTGAAGGAGGTTTCACACTTGTACAAAGTCCCACTATCAACAAACAGGCAACAAACTCTGAAGCGTCGCCTGGAAAGTGAGAAAACAACACAATGGAAATTGGGGGGAGGGGAATCGGCGCTGCGTCGCGCGGTTTGTTAGGCACTCTCAGTGAGACGTTAATAACTTAATAGTACTGAGAATTCAGGGCAAGACGTATTTGGCCAGTATGGAAGAGGGGAGTAGGGCAGGCACAGCTGCACTGGGGCAATGATTGAAAAGCTGGAATGTGCAGGTTTACACAATCTCGTTGAGAGAGCGCAGACAAGCCTCGTGGTGCGCGGCCCTCTACAACCTCACAGCGCCCAGAGAACGCTATAATTCCTGCACCACTTCCACTGCTGTTTCCTAACCATTAGCCAGGTCCGTAAAATCCGTAATATCAGAAAAGCCTTTGCGATAAGACTATCTACCTGCTTCGGAGAACTTTTACATTTCATGCCGCGAAATCAACGATGCGAGTGCAAACACACTTGATCGACTGCATCGATTAATGATGCTAAGCTGTTTGAAACAACAAAGAATTCCACAAGAAAACAAACACAAAAAAGGTTCAAGATTCAAGTGGCTTTTTTCAAGTTCAGGAAAGAAAGCGCGATGTAAGGGCGTGGTTGGGGGGGATCAGCGGCGGCGCGGCGTTTCAAATGTGATGATATTAATGGTAAGCCCGATCCTACAATGGAGGCTCAAAAGTGCCAAAGTTGGGTCCTGCGAAATCACAGAAACCCCCCGGTTCACAGCCTATACCCATTCCCTCCTCAGGTCGTGCCATCGGGCTGAGACACGCCGCCGACCCGCGTTCGCTTTCTCCTCCCCCCCCCCCCCAACCGTTTGCACCAGAAGTTCGTAGCTCAAACCAAGAAACGATAGCAGAAAGAAGAAAAAATCTTACTAGGATAGTCAACTCGAACGGCAGCACGGCCGCCGCAATCCACGCAGTGGCACGATTCGAATTTGCGCGGGATATTTCCTACTGGTGATCAAAAATCGATCGATACCCGGTCGATTGTGATCTCCAAGTAGGTACGCCCACTAAAAGTCGTAGGTTGGCTGCCACGCGCCGTGATTTCCATTGGTTTCCAACAGCTCACGACAAAGTGGAATTACAATTCCTTGGAAGCCAGTGACGCAAGTTGTAACGGCGACTTTCCCGGTTTGACGGGCAGTGCACCAACACGTGTGAGCGTCCAGACAGAAAAGCACATACTTTCTGCCCTTCTAGGACTAAGCCTTTCGAAGGAACGAAAGAAATCAGAGACGCTGTAATAGTGTGCATGTGCGAGAGTGCCTAGAGAACACTACAAGAATGTTGAATCGCCAAGCTTTTTGGTTGACCATTGCCCTTGGACGAGTTTGCCGTGAGGAGCAAACGTTCCATTCTGTGACCCGGTGAAGCCTGCTAAATTCACGAAAAACAGGTACAAATAGTAATCAACATCAGGAAAGGCATTGTTGCGCCTAACGGGCACTTAATGACACCGTACCACCTCAATTTCGAATAAACGCACGCTTCATTAACATCGTGGGAAATTGGTGTGCTCCCCACAAAGAAAACAAGTTTTCCCAGTGAAAAAGTAATTGAGCTGAGCACGCGATTCAAATTTCACAACGACCAGATCAAATTGTGCGGAAAAGACGATGACAAAAAGAGGAAACAAAACTCTCCAGGAATTTCACAATAATTTTCCATAGGCCTTGACATATTTGACATAAGAAAAAAAATTGCAGAGTTTTTAGAAAAACAACAACAACGAAATAAACCGCACTCCTGTACGGGAGAGGGAAGAGAGATCGCTGCGGGTAAGAATAAACGTATGCAATTCATTCCACGCTGAACAATCCTTTTTGTCTACGCACCACTTGCGCCAAGATATTAAGGCTAACATTTCGAAATGGTTCTCCTGAGTCACCGATGGCGCAGCTGGCTGACTAGCCAGCCACCCAGCCAGCCAGTTGGCCCCTTAACAAAGGCGCTGCAGGCCAGGGTACAGCAGCGGCGACTTGTGGTGACAATGGCGTTGAGATGATTAAGGTCGCGATTGTTTTCAGCACTTTACTGTAACAACCGATGTCTAGTCGGGGCTCCGCTGCTGCCGCGGCCAACACACTACACCACATCACCCATCAAATGGCATCTCCGGACGGACGAAAGCACATCTTGCGCTACGGACGGCTGAATGAATGAATTGCAATACGGCTCGGCTCATTCGTCGTGAATTTCTTCGTTGACCGATGAGTCATGGATGGGTTTTTCGATTCGAAACCAGCAGCTGCACGTCGTATAACGCATGGAACTTAAAACAGCAGCGCCGAATCAAAACGAGGTAAGAAAGAACTGAAGCAGCTGGGATCGCATAACTCGCTTTCCTTTCATTCCCATGCCTCCTTTCCTAAGGTAAACACCATTTAATTTCATCACAGAACCTGAACTGGATTGAGCCGGAAATACGAAGGAAAGCCAACGAAACAAGGAAAGCTAATGGAGCGGAATAATTAAACCAGAGCTGCTCGACCTCTCGCTGTTACGAAATAGAATGGAATGCTAAACGAAGCTAGCCATCGCATCAGCATATACGGGTCGAGGGTCCGATTACGCTCCAATTATCGCTCGACTCTTGAATAATTCACGCCGCAAACAAACATCCACATCGCTTCTCGTCCCACCTATGTACGAAACTCTCCAGCCCTTTCATAATGGGGAAAGAAACCAACTACCCTAAAATCTCACAGATAAAAGTGCTTGATATTCAAGAGTGAATAACGATAGCGACGAGGTAGAATTGAGTATAGATGTGAAGCATTGTCACAAGAATGCTGGGTCATAAACAAAACTCTAGCCCCAGGCAGGACTCGAACTCGCTCCTCTCGCTCACCAGGTAAAATGTTACCAGTAGATGATGGATGATGGGCTTCTGCAGCAAGTGAACAAGTTGATAAAATGAGTTACTTATTTGCTTAGTGTGGCGATAGCCTAAGTGTTACGCTATTTAAAGGAGCTGAATTCTAAGATCTTATCGATAAGGTGGTTCAATTGTTGTTGCACAAAATGGCGATAAACCAGCCCCTTCATAATTATAAGCAATTTTCAGAGCTTTTACTCTTTGGATCTACAACAGAAACAAAAAAAAAAAAACGTGACTACAGTCTATACTAAAGGTGAGGTATTTTGTTGTTTTTTGTTATTGTTTGTTGTTAAAGTTCGGAAAAGTATGAGATCACCTAAGCGCCCGTGTTTACCGGTCTTTTTTGCAAACATTGAACCGCTCGTATCCATAAATCCTTAAGAGCAACCTATTGGTCCAGCCCTTCCATTAAAAATAGCGTAACCCATACCGTTTATTGGCCAGAACTAAAGCAAATAATCCCTCCATTTATCACTACTTCGCAAACACCACCATACAAACTAGTTTATGGCGCCTCATAAAAGTTATTTGAAAGTGCAATGTGTTCTTAATGAGTGAGTAACCGCCGTAAATGGACACCCGTAATCGCTAGCAAATACTGACTAGTCATGATAAGTTGGTTATGGTAATATCAGACCTTTGCTTCAGCAGAAAAAATATACAAAAGCTTTTAGATGCGAAATAAAAATTAAAAGAACAATGATATCTAGAGCTTCTTTTGAAT